CCTTCCTATCATGCTGGCTACCTCCATTTCCTTCTGGACCACCAGTAAGAACAAAGGAATGCAGATTAAACTTTGCTTTCATACATGGTTTGGGATTTATGAGAATATAAGTGATGGTTGGAAATTTACCAGAGTATAAGTGATTGGAAAATGTCATCCTAGACCAACTGTGGACTGGATCCTAATGGGTGGAGATTTGCACTAAACTTCCTGTTTTTTGTTTTTAATGTCCTCTGCTACCCAGACCCAGTCCCCTTATATCCCCGAACTCTGAACCCTGTGTTGCCTGCTTCCCACTTGGCAGTTGTTTCTTATCCTATAGGGAGGGAGCCCCTATTAGAAAGGATTTAATTACACCTTATAGGGGAGTAATGACTTGCCCTTCTAGGTAGATATACTTGGATATTAGCCTCTCATTCAGTGGACTGGATTTCTAATGATAGAATTTTAAGTATCAAAAATAGGCTAGATACAAAGACACTTTTTGACAGGCTGTGTGTGTTGGGGTTGGGTTAGACAGATTTTCTTCCCAAGATCTTTATTTAAAACTGTCCTTGAATTTTTTTTTTTTTTTTGAGGAAAAATACGGAAATGTTTATTCTTGGTCTTTTATCCAGTTTCATAATGGAACAAAAAAAAAGTTCTAATCAAAGGAAAATGTTTAAACATTTTATGTACCCTATTATAATTTGATCCTTGTTTAGTTTGATTTTGTTGGTCAGATTATCGGTTTGGCTTTCTCCAGAATTTTTTTTTTTTTAAATTTCAAATAGGAGATGCTATGGAATGTAGGGAAGGATACAAGTAATGTCCAATATTCTCTATGTGAATTGGATCACCAGACTTCACATTTTGTGTACTGGCTTTAAAAATATGTCTTTCTCCATTTCCAGATAATTCCCCCACCACCTCCCATATGTCCAGATTCTCTTGATGATGCTGATGCTCTGGGAAGTATGTTAATCTCTTGGTACATGAGTGGCTATCATACTGGCTATTATATGGTAAGTGATTACTCAGCATCTTTTTCCAGCAATCTCTTTGTGATTGTGTGACTTTATTTTGTTTTGTGACTAAAAAGTCGTTTGTCTTACGCTAAGTGAAAGAAGCCAGCCACAAAGGACGACATATTGTATGATCCCATATATGAAATATCCAGAACTGGCAAATCTACAGAGACCGAAAGTAGATTAGTGGGAGCCTAGGTTGGGTGGGGGGAGGGAGGAAGATGAGAGTGTTAAGGGAGTGATGGCTAAGGGGTACAGTTTCTTTCTGGAGTAATAAAAATGTTCTACATTTAATGGATGCACCACTCTGTCAATGTGCTGAAAACCAATGAATTGTATACTTTAAATAGGTGAATTGCATGCCATGTGAATTATGTCTCCATAAAGCTGTTTAAAAAAAAAAAAAGTCAGTTGTTATGTAGGTCCTAAAGGTAAAAATTACTTTAAAGTTTAAAAAATGCAATTATCCATCTAAGGCTTTAGTTGCTCTTGCGTCAGCCCCGTGAAGTGTAATTGTAGTGCATTTAAAAATCTCTCCTGTTATTGTTAGATTTTTTAAAATTTTATTTATTTTGTTGTTGAGAATATACACAGCAAAACACACCAATTCAACAGTTTCTATGCATACCATTTAGTGATATTGATAACATTCTTCAAGTTGTGCTACCATTCTCACCCTCCTTTTCTGAGTTGCTCCTCCCCCATTAACATAAATTCACTGCTCCCTAAGGTTCCTATCTAATCTTTCAAGTTGCTGTTGACACTTTTATCCCGTATACATAGTTATTAAAAAAGCATAATACTCAAGGCAGACATTTTTTACTAGTTAACTAATATTTGGTTTTAAGAAGACTTCAGGGGATATTTTTGGTTTAAGGCTTAAAGATTATCTCAGGACAGTAGTTTCAGGGGTTCATCCAACCTTCATGGCTCCAGGAAGTCTGGAGTCCATGAGAATTTGAAATTCTGTTCTGCATTCCCTCCCTTTTGTTCAGGATTATCCTATGGAATCTTTGATCAAAGTGTTCGGTAATGGTAGTGGGGCACCATCCAGTTCTTCTGGTTTCATGGCAAAAGAGGCAGTTATTCATGGAGGCAATTAGCCACACTTTCCATATTCTTCTCTTCCTGACTCTGCTTCTTCCTCTGTTGTTCCAGGCAAATAGAGACCAATTGTTGTGCCTTGGATAGCTACTTGCAAGCTTTTAAGACCCTAGGCACTACACAGTGAACTAGGAGGTAGAACAGAAGCACTAAACACATTATTAGGCTAATTTTATTGTTATATTATTTTGATTACACATTTTCGAATTTGAATGACATTCTGTTTTCCAAACTCATTAGTGTTTGTGCTTTTATGTGAAATAAAATAGATTGTAGTGTATTGAAAAATAATGGGTAATATTTTGTAAAACAAAAGAAAAATTAGATTCTTTTTGTGTATAGAGGAAGGTCTAGGGTGATAGGTACCAAACTGAAGCTTGGATACTTGGGCTTCAAACTTGTCATTTCATACATATTCTATTGTAATTTAGCAGGAAATTAAAAAAAAATTTTTTTTAAAAGGAAGCTGTTGTGCCATGCTGAAATTATGATGTGTGATTGTAGTTAATTAATACAGAAAAAAATAAACAACTGACTTGAAGGTGTAATTTTTCACATATATCATCTGTACGTATCCCCACTTAATATTCTTATTTAACAGATTGTAATTTGTTTTAGACCAGTCATCTCACTCTAATTCCCTAGCTTTTCTGTTTCTGTACTTTAAGTTTCTCTACATATTTTCAGTAGTTTGTTTTTCTCATTTATTTTTCAAATTATAAAATATTTTGAAAAATAACATATATAAGGTGTACATATAAGGTGTTAATTTATGTTCATTTAAAAAATTTTTAGACAGGGAAAGCTAGAGGGGGAAAAATCATCCATAACTCTGTCACCCAGATGCACCTTATGTTGACTTATATTCAGGTTCATATTGTGCGTAGGTTCACGGTTTTTGGTTGGTTGGTATTGTTGTTAATGTAAAGTTTTTATTAAATATAGCATGCATGCAGAAAAGTACATAAATTACAAGTTTGCAGCTTGATAATTTTTCACAAAGTCATCACACCTGTGTTATCAGTGTCACTATCAAGAAAAAGAACATTATCTCAACCTCAGAAGCTTCCTCATGTCTCATTCTACTCATTAGCCACATCCCTTTCAAGGGTAACCATTTTCCTGATTTCTAACATCATATATGAGTTTTGCCCATTTTTAAACTTTTTATGGATGGAATCATATATATGTATATATATGTTTTTGTTCAGTATTTGTATTGCATTCCATAATGTGTTTATTTGTTCCACTGTTGAGAGATAATTGTGTGGGTTCCAGTTTTTGGCTATTAAAAATAATGTGGCTATGAATGTTCTTTTTTTTTTTTTTTGTTTAGCTTTCTTTCTTTTTTTTTTTTA